AGCAGCACCAGCGAGATTACAGAGGTGGAACCCGCACCGGGAGCCCGCATCCTGGGAAGGCGGAGAGAGCTGAGGCGACGGGCAGCTCAGCCCCGCCCCCAGAATGATTCCAGGCCGGGCGCTTCGAGCCACTCTCCGCCCCCTCCTCAGGCCAACACTCGGGCCGCCGGCTCCGAGCCAGCCCCCAGCCCCTTGCCTGGGATTGGCCACATGCAGGACAGACTCTGCCCCCAGACCAAAGTTCCGCCCCATCCGTGTTGGGTGCAGGCCTCCTGGCTCCTAGTCCGGCCCAGCCTTCTCTGCCCATCATTAATACAGACCGCGCCCTCAGACACAGCTCTTCCAACCCGTCAGTCACTGTCAAGCCCCGCCCCATGCTGTGACCTAGCGCCGGTCTCTGGACCCAAGCTCCACCCTCACTTGACCCCTAAACCTGGGTTCCCCAACCACGGACCGACACTCTTTCCAGTCAACCGGCCCCGTCTCCATGCCATGACCTAGTCGCAATCCTCGGCCCCAGGATCTAGTCCCCTCAAGTCTGTCCAGCCACAGCTCCTTCGATTTTCCTTCAGGTCCCGCCTCTACACGCTCCTACCCCAAGCTGGCCACACCCACTCTGGACAAGCGCGTTCCCAGGTCGAAGTTCCATCGTAGGCCACCTGCCGCGCCCCCAGGTTTTAACCTAGCCGTTACCCTCCGGCCCACCTAGTGCCCTAGCTCGGCCCCACCTGCCCTCCCAGGCCCGCCCCAAGACCCTCCACCGACCTGCGTGACTCAGAGCGCTCGGCCTCATACCGAGGCCCGCCCCCTTCCGGAAGCCCCAACCATAGAGAGGGTCCCCAGGCCAGAGAGACGGGGGCCAACAAGACAAGGCGGCTAGAAAAGCCCAGTGAAGATGGCATCTGATTCCATGACAACCAAGCCCCACCCCCACCCAACCCGAGCCCGAACACACAGACAGGCATTTAGGAAACACACGCATCCCGCAGCCCAGTGGCGTGGCTCCCGGGCTTTCCGGCCAAGCCCCAAATGACATTCAGAATCCCTTTCTCAGGGAACCAGAAAATACCAGTTCACACTTGGACGGCCTGTAGTGGATTCTTACCTCAGCTTGTTCTAAGTCCAAGTCACAAAGCCTCTTAGGTTTTAAACACATTTCAGGGACCCAGGGAGTCCTAAACTCGCAGCCTAGGGGCCCCAGAAGGTTCTAAATACAAATAGATTTAAAGGACTCAGAGAATCCATATCCATACCCCAAAATGTTGTCGGTTAAGACTGAGTGTAACACCCCAGGAGCTCAAGGAGGACAAAATACATACATCAGGTCCCCAGGAGTCCTTTATTTGCACCCCAAGGCCCTAGTGTTCGCCCAGAAGCCAAAAGCCCTCCTCCTAATAAAGCGCTGGCCATCCCTGACTCAGCTGCCCCCCACCCTGTTCCCTGGCTGACCTGAAGCTGCTCACAGATCCTGTCTTGGCTGCTCCGTCGCAGTCTCCCAGAAGCTCAGGCAGAAAGCCGGCAGGGACCAGGACGACAGTGGACCCCAAAACCTAGCCTGAACAGGTGTGCCCTCCAGGGCCTCTTTACGCGGACTCCTGGGCCCTGCTCTGGGCTGTGCCCACGCAAGCCTCTGCTTGGATCCCTCCCTCCAAGCTGCCCACCCAACCCCCCGCTTGTTTTCTGGCCTGCTTGGCTGACCTTTCTAGCGTTCTTCTTGAAAGGCAGCGACCAGCAGCATTTAGAGAAACAGATCTGGGCAGGCACTCGCCCTCCCGCCCCGCCCCCCAGGTCGGCCATTGGTCCCTGCGGTCTCCCATGGTGCGGGAATGGGGGATGAGGTGGCACATCTGGAGGACAGGCCCAGAGCCAGCTGCTGGTCTTCTACTTTCTTGGTCAGGAGTCAGCAGAGTCATAAATAAGCAGTAACTACAGCTGCACTCTTATACCGCCAGGTAGCTGTATCACCCCATTTTACAGGTAGAAAAATTGAAGCCTAGAGCTGTCAAACCACTGGCTTGGAGAGGCATTCATTCCTGAATGTGGACTGAGTGCTTGACCTCTGCCCCCACTCTTTTATGTTTTTCCTAGTTCTTTCTCCCCTCAGCCCTTTCCCCCACTTCTTGCCTGCTTCTTCCCCTACTACCCTCCCCTTCTCCAACCCACTTCTCCTTCCCTCTCTCCATCTTTATCCCTCCCCACCCATCCTCTTTCCTCATCTCTCCCTGCCTCTTCCTCTCCCTGCTTCTCCATCTCCACTCCCCCTCTCTTCCCTGTCCCTTCCATCTTACCAAACATACTGAGCCCTGATTAAATAGTGCACAGGACAGTCTCTTCCAACACTCCCCACAGCTCTTGGAGATACAGTGTGGGTCCTCAGTCCACAATCTAAAAGGTTCTGGTACCAGAACTCCAGTGGTATCTCAGAGGGACCACCCCACCTGAGCTGACCCTGCCTGCTTTCAGTGGTTAATTGCTACTTTGTACCCCTGTTTATACTTCATTTATCCTTTCGCCTAACAGCTGCCCCTGGGCACTCCCAGGGCATTACACAATATATAGCAGCTTTTACCCACTGTTACCTTCTCTAAGATAGGAAAAAATTCCCAATTCTGAAACACAACTGTTCCCAGAAATTCTGGATGAGGGATTCAGGAACTACTCTTTGTCTATTTCACAGAACTGGAAACTGAGACCTGGCTGGGGAGGCAGGTGGGTGGGGAAGGCAGAACTGAAGTTCTGCCCCTCTAGCTGGTGGTTGGGAGCTGGTCACTTCTCCCCTCTGAACCTTGGCTGCCTTCTGGCTGCTAACACTCACCTCTCAGAGCACTATGCATCAAACATTTGTTATCCCCACTGTAAGGGTGACATCTGGAGAATGAATGGGCCAGGCACAAAGTAGATGTGGGGGCACAGCTTGCCATGCACTCCTTCCCCTGGGGTGATCGCATGGTGCCTGCATGCTCTTGGCAGTCTGTAATCTCTGTCATTGTGTCTGCTTGCTTGAGACAAAATATTCTGTGGGAGCAAAGGGAGTTCTGGGAACTTTCTGGAAGGAGAGAAGTGAAGCATAAATCAACTACAATAGGGGTAATTAGCTTCATGTGGCTGCTATAACAAAGTACCATAGAATGGGTGGCTTAAACAACATAAATGTATTCTTTATCAGAGTATATTGCGTGGAGAGGGGGCAGCATGGTGGGATCCATACACAGCCAGCTGCGTACCCGGCCAGCTGCACAAGGCAGTGGGCACTCAGCAACAGCATCGGCTAACAGGTTCCCAGCAGGAAGGGCCAGCGCTGGTACTCATAGCACAGAATGCACTGAAGGACTGGCAGGGGCAGGGCCAGGACAGGCTGACTCCTGGGAGCTGTAGGCTGACCTGTTCACTGAACCGAAACCTCAGTGAGGCCCAAATTGCCTTTGTTTTTTTCTTGTAGATTTCTGAAACTGGTAACAAGTGTAGCAGCAGCAAGGGGAGCAGCCTGGAAGGCAAAGTGGAGGCCCTGGGCTTGCAAGCACTGCCCCCTCGGCTCCTGAGGCCTCTGTGGACGGAGTGGGGCAGTAGTTCTGGACATAAAGGCCTCTGTGGGTCCCCTCTTCTCATTTCCCCAGCTTGTTCATGTGCTGGAAGTGGGGGAGGGGCTCTTGAGAAAATTCTGCATGAGAATATTAAATGCAAGGTTGCCTGCTCCAGGCAGTTGCAAGGAGACACTCCCTTGCTGATTCTAACTGCAACATTTGCAGAATTTGAACACATAAGACAGACAGTCCATTGGAAATCAGAACCGCAGATGGCAGTTCCTGTCTTGTCAGCCAGCACTGATATTCTAAGAAACGCTTAGAGCTGTGTTTTTCAACTTGTGACTATCTTCAGGTAATAAAGTCAGAAACTCTCCCTCAAGGCACTTCATGATCTATTTTGGGACTGCTGTTAAGGGAATATAACAGTAAGAAATGAATTTGTAATAGAAGAAAAGTGGAATCAAATCTTTGTTCAAAACTGAACACTAACATTCACTGGAAAGTGAACTCAAGTAGCCCCAGAAACTTTGTAACCACTAAAATAAGGTGGTTGGACTCAAGGGTCTTGGCTACCCTTTCCAGACCCCCAGAGAGGTCCCAGTGGGCAGCGGCTTAGTGCTCATGATTGCCCAGCAAATGGGTAGCAAGCCCTCATGTGCATCAGCAACTCGACTCCCACAGAGCAGAGGTAGACAGTCTCAGGAAGGTAAGAGGTGAGAATGTATGGGGGTGGGTCTATCACCAAGACTTACCCCATCCTCTCTTCCTGGGTGACACAGCCTTGCAAATACGGCCTCACCCACCCAGCACCCACAGCCACAGGCCAGGCCACTGAGGCCGTGAGTTCGTGTCTTGCCTTCCCAGCCAGCGTCCAGCAGGAGGCAAGGCAGGACTTTGGGAGGGAGGAGGAGAGATGCTCTGGCATCAAAGACACACATCCTGCCATCAGCCTGGCCATCCCTCCGTTGTTTAGAGGGCAGAAATGGGGCCAAGTGGGGGCTGGTGGCTTATTCAGGGTGGCACAGCTGGACTCAGCCCATTTGCTGAAAACCAATTTGCCAGAAAGTCAAATTGCTGAAGATCAATGTACCAAATGCCCATTTAGCCAAATTGACAAGATACCCCAAAATTTCCACTGAAGAATATTCCTCTTGAATAGAGAAAAAAGTTAGGGCTTTAGGGTTCTAGGAATTTGTACTTCTCTTTTTAAGAATTTTTATGGAATGCTGTATTCGTTAAAGCTGTTCAGTCCACAAACACTGAGGTCCTACAGTGTACTAAAGTGCTGGGGACACTGGGGGAGCAAGTTAAACAAAGTTAAACTTGACCTTGGCCTTGGCCTTGACCTTAAAGTGGTGAGGGAGGAAGCCATGCAGGTATCTGGGGAAAGGTGAACCAGGTCAGGGGAGTCTCCAGTGCAAAGGGCCTGAGGTAGGACTGAACCTGATCTTTTAGGCATCTGGGAGGAGAAGGCAGATGGGGCAGGAGGCGGGTGAGCAAAGAGCCAGTGGAGGTCAAAACTGGAGAAAAATAGCATCATGCCCTGAATATTTTGATGAAGAATAGTTCTCTAAATAAATTGGGAGTGAATGGGTGCATTAAGGGGAGAAGTTTCAGCAACATGGCCATCCCATCATGCAAGCTCAGCCTCTGGGGAGTAAAGCGGCACCAGGGATGCATGTGTGCCTCTGTCCTGCAGAGCTGTCTGTGAAGCCCACAGAGACCCAGGTCACCCTCAGCAGCCTGCAGGTGCGCGCAGATGCGGTGATGCAGTGGGGCGCCTGGAGTCAGCTCCAGCACTTTAGCATCGGTGAGTGGAGGGCAGGGGAGGCAGGGCTAGGTAGTCACCTAGTATGTACTGCCCCTTCCCACACCTCTGCAAGCAGTCCTACCTGGCCCTGCTCTGTGGCCCCCCATGCATTGCTCTCAGGAGAAAGTCCCAGCCTGGCCTGCTCCCAACTCCTTCACCAGCTTGTCACCTGCTGCTTTCCCTCATGAACCTTCTCTCACACCCCTGTAGCCTTGCCCATGAAGCCCCTCTGCCTGGAATGCATCTTCTATTGTCAAACTCCTTTTCATCTTTCAAAGCTCAGCTCAAAAGCCTCCTCCTCCAGCAAGCCTTCCAGGCTTTCCCTCAGTAGAGACTGACTGGCACCTTGGGAGTAGGTAGGAGTGTGTGTGTCTTGGCTCTGCCTCCCCCAGCCTAGGGTCTCCTGGGGAGTGGCAGGGAGCAGGGGGTGCTATTTATTGAGTGAATGAATGACCACCAATGAATGTGTGTTTCTGTCATCACAAAGATAAGGAGGTGGGCTCTGTTGTCTTGGGGATCATGACCCTGAGGGATTGGAGACCAAATGACCCCTGTTCCTGCTAGGGTCCCTGCCTGTTGTCCTTGCAGTGAAATCTGGCCTCAAGAGGGCCAGTCAGTCAGGCTTGGTGTGGGGAGGGCAGTTCTGGGACCAGGGGAGCAATATACAGGCCGCACCCGTGGTCCCTCGGTGCTGGTGTCCTGAACACTGGCGGTGTGTCAAGGCCTTTACCCCACAGACACGACACAAGGGGGTTTCTTTGTCTCCCACTTCAAAGGTGAGGAAATCGAGGCATGGAGGGGCCGTGATGTGCCAGGGTCAGCAGCAGGTTGATGGGAGGCCTGCCCTCCCCTCCCTCCCCAAGGAGAGGTGGGAGGTGTCCCTCCTCCAACCCAAGCTCTTTCCCCCGCAGAAGTCCAGGTCTCTGAGTTGTCGGATTTGTCCATATTCCTAGTGTGTCTGGGGAGCTTTGTGAGCATCCTTCTCCTAGGCATCTTTGGGTACTTCAGCATGAACAGGTAACTTGCACCTTCTCCTCCAAGACGATCCATAATAGCAATAATCGTAACAGTAATAACTGTTCACACCAGCTAGGTATTTGTGCCCACTTTACAGGTAAGGAAACTGAGGCCCAGGTGGTCACATTCAGGGCATCTGGCAGTTGGGGATTTGGACCTGGGTCTGTTAGACTCCTGTAGCCCCTCCCTCAATCCACACCTTCACTCCCTTTAGAACCTAATAAGAGATTTAAAAAAATAAATCAGAAAAGTTAAAAAGTAACATTGGAAGCACTGTTCCTCTGACCGGCTTCCCTTCTTTCCCAGGGCCGCACGGCACCTGTGGCCGCCCCTGCCCACACCCTGTGCCAGCAGCGCAGTCGACCTCCCTGGCAGCCAGGGGAAGCAGGTAAGGGCTCCTTTCCCAACTCCAGGTCCTGCTTATTGGGTCCATACTCTGGGCCAGGGCTCTGCAGGGTAATGGCCATACATCAGCTCATTTTTTTCTCCCCAACCCACTGAGGCATGGACTCCAAACGCCTGTCCCGTTTTACAGATGGGTGAGCAGTGGCTCACAGAGGAACCTCCCGTGGGTCATTTCCTAGTAACAGAAACAGCTCAAAGTGATTTTGACAGAGGGGACCCCGATGGGGGAAAAAAAATCCAGAGTGGTAGGCTTCAGGTATGGCTGGATCTATGTGTTTGGGCTGCTGTTCTGCCTGCAGGGTCTCCTCTCTCAGGCAAGCTCAGCCTTCCCCCTGTGGGAGCTGGCTGTCCTTTTTCCCCATTCACTGCAGCAAAAGTCACAGGGCCATCACTGATTGGCCCAGCATGGGTAACATGCCCATCCCTGAACTGATCACTGGAATCAGGGGGCTGGAGTGCTCTGACTGGCTGGGCGCCATTGCCCTGCCCTACCGCATCAAGTGCGAAAAGGAGCAGCAATTTCCCAAAAAGAAATGGGGTCCCTTCCTAAGAGGGTCTGAATGGGGGTCACTGAGGCAGATTTGATCTTTTAATTGATCTCAGGATTTTAAGAGAATTTAACCAGCAGGGACATGGACCACCCCAGGTGGAGGGTGGGATTGTGTGGATGGGAAGTAGGGATCCGCCTACAGCCTTGGCCCTACTCTCCCTTTCCAGGTGTGGCAGTGGACCAGCCCAGTGGACTTCCCAGAGGAGGCAACACCAGAAGATATGCTGGTGGTGAACATGTCCTGGGACAAAAGTGAGAGGGCTGACCTGGACACCCCTGGGCCTCTCACAGAGAAGACACAGCTGCCTCAGGGCACCCCTCAGCCATCCCTGGACACGGAGCTGCCCTTGGAGGATATGACACAGATGCATGGACACCCTACGGCCAGGGCTCTGGAGCCTGGTGGGCAGGATGGTCTGGAGGGCAGCTCTGCGCAGGTGACTGGACTCCCACTGCTGCTCGGAGATCTAATGCAGAGCCCCAGGTTTAGTGGCCCCCAGCACCTGGAGGCCTGAGGGAGAAACAGGAATGTCTGCCTGGTCTTTTGGACAGGAAGACTGATGAAAGCTGGTTATTATGTGCTTATTGTATACCCAGCCTGTTCCATCCACTCACATGATGCCCTGAACCCCCATAACCCCCTGGAGAGGTGCATGGTTGTTGTATTTTACGGATGTGACCACGAAGGCTCAGAGTGGGCGGTGGCTAACCTGATTCCAGCGTGGGCAGGACTCAATCTGGGGCCAAGGGGCCCAGACCCCATTCCTGCCCCCAGCTTAGGCCTCACTCTCCCTCCTTGCTCCACCTACTCTGTCTGGCACCTGTGGTGGGAGCCCTAGAAAGCGCCATAAACAAGTGGCTACACTGGGCCCTGGCCTGACATCCAGGGGGCATGGACAGGCACTGTCACTGGTCTATACAGGGGTGGAATAGGCAGGAGAGGGCCCAAAGGGGGCTGCTGCTGATCCTAGGACCCTGGGCTGGGTGTCCTGTCCCAGAAGCACTGGATGGGGAGGTTGGGTGCAGAGCTCAGCCACACTGCAAGACGTGGGAGGATCCCGGTGTGGGAAAAGGAAGGGGGATCCCAAGCATTCTGAGGGAGGTGGTGGCCCCTCCCTGGCTTCAGTCTCCCCTGTACAATGGGGGTGGTGGTAATGCTGACCTTACAGAGCTGTTCTGGGGTGGGGCAGGTGCATCTAAGGCTTAATAAATGAACCTCCTGTTATGTATCCGCCCCCCAGCCAAAGCCTGGCTGTGTTGCTCAAAACCCCCTAGTTGGAGAATTCATTCATTCTTTCCACGCACACTTATTAATCTTTCCCCCTGGCGCCCCAGTAGCACCCACTCTGGGGGAGAGAGCTGGATGGTCACTCGGAACTCTGCAAAATCACGCCTGGGCAAAGGGAGGGACGGCCGGAGGGGGAATGGGGCGGGGTACCCCTATAACAGAAGCCTCAGTCCGTCCATCAGCCCTGCCACGAGACCTGCTCCTCACCCCCAAAGCCACGCAGCAGGACCTGTGCCCCGGTCCCCCGTACACACCCCGACAGCGCCATCCTTCAAGGATTTTGTCGTAGATTCCACCCCCCACATGGCCACCAGGCGGCAGCAGTGGCACATGTCCTCCAGGCCCACCCTGCCCTGCTCCCAGCCACCTCCCATGGAGTTTGCAAAACAGATTTCTCCGGGTTTTTTTTCTCCCTTTAAAAAATTCAAATATACTTGACATACAATATTGGTTTCAGATGTACAACATAATGACCCCATAATTATATATTTATTAGACGCTCAACGAGATCAAGTTTTCGGTTTTAATGGGGGACGAGGCAAGATGGTGTTGGAAGTGGAGATTAAAACCCAGAATCTCTGAATTTTGTGGCAAAGGAGACAAGGCCTCTGGGCTGGGGAGGCCCAAGGCAGAAGCCCAGGCCCCGCCCTTTTGGGGGTGCTCGGTTTCCCTATCTGTGCCTTTAGAAGGGGAAACGGAGGCCCCAGAGCCCCAGCTACAGTGACTGCTCACTGCTCCACAAGGGCCCCTTCCCTGGGATTGGCCACCTCCTAGCTTTTGCTCAAGCCGTGCCCCAGGGGTGAGTTTGGGGCACCAGGCATGCCCTCCCTTGAAGACCAATTCTCATTCCTTAGGGCTGGACTCCAGCCTAGTGGCACGGCCAAGTGGGCAGACTGGACGGGATGCTGGGTCAGGAACCTCATGAGAAAGACCCTAGAGACCTGACCCCCCAGGGGCTCAGAGCCACCTGCAAGTCCAGAATGGCACCTAAGCCCCCCAGTAACAGCCTCCAGGGAAAGTCTAGGAAGCTGTATGTCCCGATGGTCATCACCCAGGCTTGTGCCCAGTAGTAGCAGAGCACCCAGCTTGGTGCCCTCTGGTACTGATGACAAATTCAGCCCCACACACAGCCCCTGGGTCCAAGCCCTGGGCATTAGATTCTCACTGAGCACCACCTGAAGCTCTTGCTGAAAGGAACGGGGAAACGGACACCCTGTTCCTACCGGGAGCAGGCTGAGACTGCCTGGAAGGGAAGCCTGCAGGGAGGACAGCGGCCCAGACAGATAGACAGACCCCAGTCCTCAGATCTAGCCATGCCTGACGCCCACCACTCTGGGATTTTTTTTCATCACAGTCTCTTTTTACTGAAGCCACCTCAGGTTCTAGAAAATGGCCTCCAGGAGATTCCTCTCTGGGCCTTTGGGAAGTAGAAAGGAGTTCAGAGCACTGGTTTTGGGCCCTATCTCTAGGTTTGGGCAACCCTGCTAGGCAGAGCCCTGGCCCAGGGTTAACTGAGTACCTGCTGTATACACAATACTTTGGACTCTCAAGTGTCTGTCCAGCAGCTCCAGGAGTCAGGACTGTGGGAGACCTCATTCAGAGCTCCATTCATTCACTGATGTAGGAAGTCAGTGCTCAGCACCTGTTGTATACGAACCCCTTTCTCTCACAGGTCAGAATAAGTCCCATCTGCCTGGGGTGGGGGTTATAGGTCATAGCCTAGGGACCTATGGGTTTTATTCTTAGGCTTGGGAGGGTGTCCTCACAATTTGTGAGCTGCCCATTCTTCCTTTTTTTGTTTTTTGGTGTTTTGTCATTTTTATAAAGATTTTTTCACAGTCACTGAGTGGATGAACACACAAGACCTGACTATATGCTGCCTGTAAGAAACTCACTTCAAACCCAAAGACATACACAGACTAAAATTGAAGGGATGGAAAAAGATATTTCATGCAAACAATAGGGAGAAAAAAGCAGGAGTTACAGTGCTTGTATCAGACAGACTTCAAAACAAAGAAAGTAACAAGAGACAAAGAAGAGCATTACATAATGAAAAAGGGATCAGTCCAACAAGAGCATATAACCATTATAAATATATATGCACCCAATGTAAGAGCACCAACATATGTAAAACAAATACTAACAGAATTAAAGGGGGAAATAGAATACAATACATTTACCACTCACTCCAAAGGACAGATTAATCAGACAGAAAATAAGGAAGGACGCAGAGGCACTGAACAACACATTAAAACAGATGGACCTAACGGACATCTACAGAACTTTCCACCCCAAAGCAGCAGGATACCCATTCTTCTCAAGTGCATATGGAACATCTTCATGAATAGATCATTTACGAAGCCACAAAAAGAGCCTCAGTAAATTCAGAAGGGTTGAAATTGTACCAACCAGCTTCTAAGATCACAAAAGTATGAAACTGGAAATAAATTATGTAAAGAAAACAAAAAAGCCCACAAACACATGGAGGCTTAACAACATGCTCCTAAATAATCAATGGATTAATGACCAAATAAAAACATACATCAAGCAATATGTGGAGACAAATGACAACAATAACTCAACATCACAAAATCTGTGGGATGCAGTGAAGGCTGTGCTAGTAGGGATGTGTACTGCAATACAGACATACCAAAGGTAAAAAGAACAATCCCATATGAACTCACAATTAATGAAACTAGAAAAAGAAGAACTAATGAGGCCCAAAGTCAGTAGAAGGAGTGACATAATAAAGGTCAGAAAATAAATAAATAAAATAGAGAAGAATAAAACAATAGAAAGAATCAATGAAAGCAGGAGCTGGTTCTTTGAGAAAATTAACAAAATAGATAAACCTCTAGGCAGACTTATCAAGGAAAAAGAGTCTACACACATGAACAGAATCAGAAATGAGAAATACAAAGAATGATTAGAGAATATGATGAAAAATTATGTGCTAACAAATTGGATAACCTAGAAGAAATGGACAACTTTCTAGAAAAATACAACCTTCCAAGGCTAACCCAGAAAGAACAGAAAATCTGAACAGACCAATTACTAGCAACAAAATTCAACTGGTAATCGAAAAACTACCTAAGAACAAAACTCCTAAACCAGATGGCTTCACCACTGAATTTTATCAAACATTTAGTGAAGATCTAATACCTGTCCTCCTTAAACTTTTCCAAAAACTGCAAGAGGAAGGAATACTTCCGAACTCATTCTATGAGGCCAGCATCACCCTAATACCAAAAATAGGCAAAGAAACCACCACACACAAAAAGTTACACACCAATATCGCTGACAACATAGATGCAAAAATATTCAACAAAATATTAGCACACCAAATTCAAAAATACATCAAAGAGATCATCCATCATGATCAAGTAGGATTTATTCCAGGGATGCAAGGATGGTACAATATTAGAAAATTCATTAACATCATCCATCACATCAAGAAAGAGGAGTACAAAAACCACATGATCATCTCCATAGGTGCTGAAAAAACACTTGACAAAATTCAACATCCATTCATGATAAAGTCTCAACAAAATGGGTATAGTTGGCAAGTACCTCAACATAATAAAGGCTATTTATGACAAACCCACAGCCAACATCATACTTAACAGCGAGAAGCTGAAAGCATTTCCTCTAAGGTTGGCAACAAGACAAGGATGCCCACTTTCCCCGCTTTTATTCAACATAGTTCTGGAGGTCCTAGCCACGGCAATCAGACAACACAAAGAAATAAAAGGCATCCAGACTGGTAACAAATAAGTTAAACTGTCATTGTTTGCATAAGACATGACACTGTACATAACAAACCCTAAAGAATCCACTCCAAAACTACTAGAACTAATAGCTGAATTCAACAAAGTTGCAGGGTACAAAATTAATACACAGAACTCTGTTGTACTCCTATTACTAGTGATGAACTAGCAGAAAGAGAAATCAAGAAAAAATTCCATTCACAATTGCATCAAAAAGAGTAAAATACCTAGGAATAAACCTAACCAAGGCAATGAAAGACCTATACTCTGAAAACTACAAGACACTCATGAGAGAAATTAAAGAAGACACCAATAAATGGAAACACATTCTGTGCTCATGAACAGGAAGAATTAATGTTGTCAAAATGGCCACTCTGCCTAAAGCAATCTATAGACTCAATGCAATCACTATCAAAATACCAATGGCATTCTTCAATGAACTGGGCAAATAGCTCTAAAA